ACCAGGGATGTTCTGGCTATAAGAAGTAGAGATACTGCTTTCAGGTCCTTGTAGAACTGACCAAATGCTAACCACTCACTTTGATGTAAAATTAAATACACTGAGACCAAAAAGAATGCAGAGTACTTGCAAACACATACAAATTATACAAATGTAACTGGTATGGTGTCCATGATACCGAAAAATCATCTTAAACAGCAAATACAGCGGCTTTTTTTGTCCAAGGCAGTTGAACTTATCAGGTCTAGAATTAATTATCTACTGGTGCACCTACATTTTCCCATTTTTGTAACTACAACATTTTTGCAACATGACAGCAGAAAAGTCCATTCTCCAAACCAACAGCACACAAAGAATTCATATTATGCTCATAAATTCTCAGTTTTAAGAACTTGCATCCTGAAGGTTTCCAAAGTGTGTGATAAATGAGGGCCTAAATGAAGGGACAGTACCATAATCCTCTCTAAATGGGCTTATACAATCCTGTTAATGCTGCTTTTGCTGCATTAACATACTTCAGTACTCCAGATGAGATCATCCCAAAGCTGAAACTGAGTGCAGAGGCCATCTCCTGGTCACGGACACCAAGTTATTTTGCAGTCAGTGTTATTTCACTGCCTCATCTACTGCTGTTATTTTTTGATAAATGGCAACCTGCTATCTTGAGAGAATAAAAATCAACAGGGAATATATTCTACTATACTGTGTTAAAAATCTAGAAGTACACAAAGTATCAGAAACCTTCCTTACCAAAATCACACAGCACAAGAGGAACAGAAGGAATTTTGGGTCAAAGATAGAGGATGAAGCCCCCTTATTACCAAAGTATTACAGCAGTTCCACTTTAGTCTCCATTCACTGTAAAAAGCACTCAAATCTTAAGGCTGCAGCAGAAAAGTGACAAAAAAATTCAAGAGTATCAAATGTTCATATTATGGTGGGAATCAAATGTTTGTACTACAGAAAATGCTAAATCTATCCTGGCAACATTGAGAACACTGGCTGGAGAGAACTCAAAATAGCTCAAGAAAATAAGCACTAAATATATTTCTTCCAGCACAAACTATCCTGATCTGTTGCTTTTAAATCTGCCATCTAGCATGAGATGCTTTCATTATTTAACATGTACAGGTATAATCACAGGCCTGATGAGAAAGCAGCTTCAAAAGAAATCCAGATCGTAACTCTCCATCTATTCTGCTTTACTTTTTTTGTTCCATTCATTCTCTACCTCATCATCTTTCTGCCCTTCTATGTATATCACACAGATTGCTATATCAGGATTAAAGATATTTTAGTATTTCACGTTAAGAAACTTTTCCCTTCTTTTCTGCATAGCATTTGAGAAAGGCATTTAACAAAAGAGCCAAACTAAGCCAAAAATCCTCAACAGAATTAAATCTTTTCCTGTAATTATTATGCACAAATCACAAAAGTATCTATTTGAAAGAATTATTCTGAAGGCATGGATTTTAAGTACATAATGTTTACTCCAGATTTACAGAACTCAAATCCTGAGCTTTTCATCCTAATCTTCAACAAGATTTAATACTGATGAGAATATATTACAAACTGTCTTCTGTGCCCAAGCTGTCTTCCTTTGTAAACAAAATCAGAACTATCAAAGCAACAGCTGTTTGAGAAGGAATACAAGTTGAAAATGGCTCCAAAATTAGGCACCCAGCAAAAGATATATACCAAATAATTTATTTGAATGTATATCTTATTCTTGAAAGCAGTATGCTGAATTTTATTTGACTCTGAATTAATGGGGCATCTGAACATATGCCATTCATTGTTCAACATAATTCCACCTTTCCCAAAAAATACCACCTTCCTCAAGGGCTTTCAAACAAGAGTAAAACCATCCCTACAGTGGTGATAAGCAACAGAAGACAGAGACTCCTTTAACAGAGACTCCTTTAATCTGGTAACATAAAAACCAGAGGAAATAACAGACAACTCTTACATCCATCCAATAGTTTTGATTAAAAGCTCTGTTACATCCTCTAAAGGTTTGCCAGTTGTCTGCACAGAAAACCAGTCTCAGGACTTTAATGGTCTTAAGACTCTCATAGAATTATAACTATAAGTTATGATCAGATTAATATTTATGCAGAGCCTTCTCTTAGCATGAAAAGAGATGCTTCTTATAAATTATGTTTATTTGCCTCTCTTTTTCTCATTCTAAATGTCTGATAAGTCTCTGTCTAGTCTTTCCAGAAAAAGTACCAAAAACAAGAAGATTTAGCTAATGGGACCTAGTTCCAGTTTTGGCTACACAGGCATACAACTATGCAGTTAATGGGTTCATAATGACATCTGGAACAAGAACAACAAAGCACTTAAATTTGCAAACACTGGGAAAAAAAAACACATTTCTTCTATGTTTCAGGCAGGGAGAACACAGATGATACCATTTTAACATCAAAATCTGTATCACTTTCTTTTAAAAAAGAATTTGCGTCATAGTCCAGGCACAGCTATACTTTTACTTGTCTCTCATGCACTCTTAAAAGCGCTGTCATACACTTTTCAGTGTCTCATTGGTCCCAAGCGAAGAAGTAATAAAAGAGAGAACAACCCACAGACTCATCTCTCTCCAGAGATCATCCACTTTTTTTATCAGCAAAAGCTGGAGTCTGAGACTGAAGACAGGCTGCTACTAGGTACCACCAGTTACACGAGGCCAAAACACACCTGTGTTCCCACATTTAAGTGCATTTTTAAACTGAGAAACATCAAGACAATGGTTAAAGCACAACAGTTTTGGGGTCATAATCTGCATTCACACCTTAGGTACAATAACTTTGCATAGGTTCTTGAGAGCAAAATGGGTTTTGCAAAGCTTGCACTGGAGATGCTTTGGAAGCACTCCCACCTGGCTTTCAGAATGGATCTATAGGCATCTGAAGGAGAAAAATCTAAAATGAGAACACGTAGAGCAACAGTTACTGATGGTCAATAAACAGAAAACAAGCAATCCTATGCCAGTGCAAATGCTTCTCAAGTTGTTATATAATTTAAGCATAGTATAGTAATTTAAATAGACAAAAGACACAAATTAAGGCAGATGTGAAAGTTTGTGCTGATTCCCTCTTATCAGCTATTATCTCTTTCATTTTCCCTTGTATGCACTAAAGGGAAAGTCTCCCCATATTAATATTGGAATGTTATTCAATCAACATTAAAAAAAATAATGAAAGATTAACAGTTCAATTTGAACTCAGACTATGGATTTAGCTGCTTTACTGTAATGTACTTCTTAAGCAAGTCCTCCTATATCCAGTTTCTTGTCTGTAACCATCACTGTCTGTACCTCATCATAATCCCATAAGAATGAATTACTTCAGGCCATGAGACAGGAGAGGTTGGACCATCACTAAGAGAAAGTATCCAAAGGATGTAAGTACAATTTCAGGACCTGAAATCTGGCCTGCCTTGACAGTACTGCCTCCAGCACAGGACATATGGCTTCTTCACATGTCTCTACACCACAGGCAGCCGAGTACCGCCACAAGCATTATGTTCTCAGCGACCTTAGATATATACCTCACTTTGATAAGCCCATAATAAAAATAAAACACAAACAAAAAACCAACGACCCAGAGCTTTGAAGCAGATTTTTTTCTTATGTTGGTTCATAACACTGCTTCACTATACATTTTCTCATTATTTTTAATGATCTATAGATATCTATACATATTAGATCAGATGCAAGATATGCACCATTAGAAAATGGCAGACAAGCATAATTGCTGAGATTACAGCCATATGGAAAAAACATGAATCGAATAGCCTAGGAAGGGAAAAATACTAAGTAATAAAGACACATCTTATGTGAAATCAAGACCTCACAGTCATCTTGTGGACACTAGAACTCTCACAGTACCATTGCATAGCTGTGTGTGCTCATTTTCAGAAGTAAAAGTGCAAGCACTGCATAATTTAAACAGTAAAGCCAAGTTTGTCCCTTCGTTTTTAATTTTTAATTGCACAAAACACAAAGATTTGTGGTGCATAAATCCATTTTGAATAGCCTGCTTAATTGGTACTGTAAGTCTAATATATCAGCTGCCTGTGGATCTGGGCAACAGCCAAGAATCCCAGGTTCAATAGATAGTGTAGCTCTTTATCTTCTTTCTCCTAACAGAGAAGGACTGCAGCTATTATAACCTGAAGTTACCACTAATGAATCTTTCATGATGTTTTCTTTATTAAACCCATTCCCAAGCTATTAAAGCTATAAAAAGAGCATATCAATACTTCAAGATATTCTGGAGTGAAAAGTACTTTGTAGGTTTTTTGTTTTTAAACACATTTGAATAGCCTGATGTGAAAAGTCCAAGGTAGCTCGTCAGGTTTTGGCATTATATTCATAAATACAGCAAGTTGTCCTGTTTTCTCCTCAACTAGAGAGATGCCACATGAAATCAGTAATTATATCATACATGTGTTAGCTCTGTCTGCATATCACTTTTTCCTGTCATACTTCTTTACAAGGGAAGCTAGCTCAGTGAATAGCAATGCTTTGTAGCTTTTCATGTGAAGCTGAAACAGCTTGGTAGGATCTTTGGAAAGCAAATGGAACAGTACAGGTTTATGTAAAGGCAGAGTTAATTTCTCCTCATACAAATATTTTCAAAGTATCCATTCACTCAGTTTCTTTGTTCACTTTCTCACAAGAATAAGTGGTATAAACATTCCTGAAAGGTGAAATGAGACTCAAGTACCTTAAAATTTTGTCAAAAGCAAACATCTAATTCAGTTATAGATTTAGAAAAAGATTATGAGAAAGAATTAACTAATCCATAATTAATAATCCAGTTTACATACTGTTGTCAAAATGTTAGATATTTACCTACACTGTGCTACTGCCACTGTGAACCCATGAGAGAGATGTTATGTTTGGTAGCAACCCCTCCCAGGGTTTTGCAGAGTTATGCTTATGAAAGGTTAACAGCAGGCACTAATATGAGTATCATGACTCTTTTCAGGCAGTAGGTGAAACCTTGAAGAAAAAGTGGCTCTGTCTTCAAAAAAGTGACCTGACCTTTGCTTTGGTGGGTTTTTACTCTGCAAGAACTAAAAGCACTGCATGCTTTCCAATGCATCCTTTCTAGCTGATAAACTATTTTGTTCTAGCACTCAGCACAAAAGGACTACCTTTTATAGAGATCAAATAGCATGTTACTGGTGCTAGCTAACAATAGCTCCAAGCCTCATACTAGAAACAAGCTGGAATATGACCTGGAATATGTCATATGAACCATGATCAGAGTAAATATCTAATTGGCCAAGAATCTTCGGTATGCTTACCAATTAGAAGCAATTCTCATTGAATTAAATATATTTCATTTTTCAATGACTTTGCAGTTCTTTGGGTATCAAAGGCATCACCAATCCAGCATGCTTATCATTCATGACACTTCTGCTCTGAGAATTTCTTGCAGCATGCAAAGAACTCTCTGCAGGGTAACTGGGATGTGTTGCACAAGCAAGCTAACCTCACACTGACCTCACAATCAATAAAATTGGTTCAAAAACCACAATAGTATGCAATGTTTTTACTTGCAATTGAATAAATGCTTCTGAAACAACCTGTGGTTTAGTCTAAGCAGTAGTGGGTGTTTTTCTAGACACAAAATATAGTGCTAGAGAAAGTAATTCTAGTGTATGATGTGGTAGCAAAGAACCTCTTCTGCTAATAGACTTTTAAGTAAATGTATTTCAGTCTAGAGTAAAATACTGCTTTTATGGAGCCAGATCCTGCAGTCTTTGCACAGCTATAACTTCCACAGCTATCAATGGGAGTTTTTAAAGTGGAAGGACATGTCCAGGGTCACTAACATAGTACAGTTCTGCTGCTATGCTGTGTGTGTACGCTCAGACTTTGTCATCTTACAAGTGTAAGAGAGATCAAAATACAAAAAATCCATGTGGATTCAGGAAGACAAAAACACTTTCAATGCAGAGTATGGCTTTAAAGAAACTACAGCACATAAAATTAGTGCGTACCCTTTGGCTAAATAATTAAATAATGTTACAATGTTGTAACTTTGCCTTGAATAGTTACAATACATCGAGTGAATGTTAAGAAATGGAAAGTTTAACAAGGACCATTTTTTTCTGAGAGAACAGTAGCGATGCCTATGATGGCAGAATTTGGCTCCGTATGTTCTGTTAGCAAAAAAACCAAACTGTTTCTGTTCTGTTAATCGCTTTTTAAGATGTTACTGGAGCTATGAACACCGCGGGCCAGGTTCCAGGGAGAGGTTGCCTCACTGAACTACAAGGAGCTGCACTGTGTTTGCAAAACCAATTTGATGCCGTTTTTAAGCAAAAAAAAAGCAAAAAAAAAGCGGGTATTTCAGATACAAGCTTTTGGGTAGCTAAAATTAAATCAGGGGGCTGATCCTCCAAACCTTAGCCCTGTGGAGATCTGACCCTGGAGAAGGCCCAGACCTTCCCAGCGGGTTCCCAGGCAGCCTTGCCCCAGCTCTTGGCTTCAATGGGGCAACTCCAGGGAGGCTACAGCCAGACCCCGGCGGCTGTCGTTAAGTAACCGGTTCACAGGCGCTCGGTGACCGGTTTTAAAAGCGTTGATGTGTTCTGCTTTCGAGCTGGCTTCGCCTACCGGCCGCGCCGGTTGGAGGCCGGGCAGGCTCGGGGGTGTGTTGGGGAGGCGGTGGTTGCCACGCTCGCTGCTGACTCGGCCATTGTTGATTTCGCTGTTGTAGGGGAAAGGCGCTAGGGCGGCCGATAAGGCGGTTGCCATGGTGATGAAGGAGATTCCGAGGGAGGAGTCCGCAGAGGAAAAACCCCTCCTAACTATGACATCACAGGTGGGCGGAGCGCGGGGCTCTGAGGTCACGGCGGGGGGCCCCCGCCGCGGGGGGGGCCGGGGGACCCCCGGGGCTGCCCCGACCCCCCGGGGATGCCCGGACCCCGGGGACGTAGCGTGGGGGAAATGTCGTCACCGCTCGGGGCTTCGGATGCTTTGACCCAAACGTTCAAACAGAAAGGCTTCCCCCCCTTAAATAAAGGGATCTGTAGAAAGTACAACACGTGTCAGTTACCAGAAAGTCAATTAAAACCAAGGTAAAGCTTCCACTATAATTAATGCCAGCGATGTTCACACCACAAATATTCATTTGCAATGCATATATAAAATTAATATTCAATGCGTATGTAAAACAAGGAACAACCACTTTGCAGCAGCATCATTTTCGCTATCTCAGATCCCAGCCCCGGGCTTCCCGCCACAGCTGGAGTTATTTCGCACTCATTCCTCACTGTTCTCTTGCCTACAGCTTCAGTCAAAGGAAGGAGACAAGGTCACTGCACTAAACCCGGACCCTGCAGCACCCGCGGAGCTGTAGGTGGTTTCATTAGTGTCTTGAAGGCAGTGACTGGACACCCCCATAACACACAGCACTTCAGTCTTGCTGCAAGACTGGATTTTATTCCCTCCTGTTGCTCACATAGACTAATTTGTCCCCCAAGTACATTTATTTTAGTGTTACTTTGTGTGAGCACATACAAGTTATTTCTGCTCCACAGGAGGTTTAATGGAAGTAATCTCAGCACGTAGTTCTTTTGTGAGAGCCTTCAACTAAATCCACAACCCTGTTTTATTCCTTTCACACTTTAGGATAACAGCTGTTGTACTTTTGAAAGTATTGAAGATGCACACGAGGCCAGCATAAACCTAGAGTGCATCACACATGTGCTGCACTAAGACATTCACATTATGGAAATATCATCTCCTTTGGAAACCAGGTCTGGCAATCTCCTCCTCAGCCTGTTGAACATGGTGATGAACCCTAATGTCTATGAAATAATTGCACAAAGGGAAAGGATTCTCTCTTTAGAGCATGATTTTTAAATTTGAACTATGATTTTTAATTTTCTAAATTATTAACAAACAATAAGAAGCCAATATCAAATGATGCTGCTCCCTCTACCCATGACCCTCCATCCAAAAAAAAAAAAAGTGCAAAATTTCCATTGGCTTCAACAGGGCCAGGAGTTCAGCCTGGGTTCATTAAATGTGTAATGCACCATTTGTAGTGGTCTTCTGTCAGTCTACTCAGCAATAGTCTTTGATAAATTTATGAGTAAAATGCTTGTGTCTGTTAGTCAGTGTAATTTCTTCCACTAAACACAAATACCTACTTTCCCACTACGCACCAAAGGGGTGCAGAGGCCAAAAGGAAGCAGAATCAAGTGAAAAAGTGAGTATTTTCCATAGCCATCTCTGCATCATGTATGTGTGATGTGCAGTTATACCACCACATTGCATACATCATTCATACCCTAATTGTCTGGCTGTCATGTTGTCTTGAGATGCTTCGTCCTCAGCGTGTCCATGCAAACCTCTCGTGCAGCCCCTTCACCCCCAACAAAGCACCGCTACCTCACGATACACGTTCAGCCATCACCATCCAAGTGTTTGTCTCTGAGCTTTACATGATGAAACAGATGGATGTGGTTGCTGCTCACAGGGTGAAACATTGCAAGTTTCAAATTGGCTGCAAGCAAGTTGGCCAAGCCAGATCACATTGGGTTATGAGAATAAGGCCTGATCCTTCCAAAGTTATCACCACCACCAAACCCAGTACAAGCACATGTATATCTCAGGAAGTCATTATTTACATTAAGTATCTATGTTGCTCTATCCCTGCAATTAAGCAAGAAGCCTCCAAGTAAAATACGAGGATCAAGCCGAGACAAAGAAGTACTGGGTTTTCTAAAACTAAAGAAACAAAAAATTGTAAAGTCTCTCATTTCCAAAATCCTTAATGAATGGAGGATTAATTATGTTTGACTGTGGAAGCAGACTCCAAAGGAAGCATCAGTGGAATCTGATAAACAAAGAAGATACTCCCTGTAGTCACAAATTATTGTAAATCAAAGTCAATATTGGTATGAGAAAGAATTCAGTAGTTGCCAAATTTAGGACTTCAAGCATCAGTGTGAGCTTTTCAGTACTACTGCAATTTTGTAGAATGTCACTCAACACTAGATTGCTGTCTCCCTTTACCTTTTTTAAGATAATTCAGAAAACAAATGATTTTTAAAAGTCTTTTTAATATGAATAGAAGATTTTAAAAAGTTTGCTGAAGGTTCAAAAGCTTAACAAGTTAAGCAATGGCAAATATATTGCTAACTGAAGCAGAGAAATAAGTGGGAAAACACATGCATAGAAAATGGATTTGAATTCCAAAGTATTTTTAACCTCTTCACAGCTTCTTTGAACAGAAGAAATTTTTTATAATTCAGAAATTACATTATAAGAAACATGCTGAAATTCATCCTATCCCATGAATATTCAGGCTACACAACAGATTATCTCAAAAAAACACCAATAAACTTTACAGATTCATGACTATACCCCAAATAGTGCCACCAGGTAATAAAGACTTTTTTTAGTCTGAAGTATTAGTGCCCAAAGGAGGAACAACTTTAATATTGTTAAGTGAGGTTCATTTCCATGCTCCTAGTTGAACCACACACATTTATATTTGCTCAAGGGTTTATGAGCCAAGTAGCCAAACATTTCCACTGCCTAAAAGCTACCATTTTGGTTTTCTGAAGGGTTCTGTTTGTTTGTTGGGTTTTGTTTATTTGTTGGGGGGTTTTCTGTTGTTGCTGTTGCTGGGTTTTTTTGTTTTGGTTTGGTTGGGGTTTTTTTTGGGGGGAAGAGTTTTGGTCAGTTGCTTGGTCAGTTTTGCTTTGTTCTGGGTTTTATGATGGTTTGGTTTGCAGTTGCTTTGGTTGTTTTGTTGGTTTTTTTTTTAAATTCTGATAGGACATCTTCCACATGCTTCTGTTCAATTTTATAAGGGAAACAGAGCAAAGATTGCTAATATTCAGCTCCCAATGTTGTTAGCAGGTTTTCTGATGTGCGTATCAAGGATGTATTTGATTGCATAATCACAGTTTTCCATACAAAAGTTAAGTCCTGTTTGAATCAATCATCTTCATTCTAAGCTTCTTAGCATTAGACTTGCCTGGACTTACAGCCCACTCCACAAATGTTTATTTAATAACATTGTAACAGGATGATGGAATGTTAAAGTGAACGTAGTTCACTCCTGTGCTCCTTTATACCAAGCTTAACCAGAATTAAATCCATGTTAACTGACTGATACACGAAAAAAAAATCATACCAGTTTTAGATAGTAAAATGAATGAAATTTAGACTACAATAATTCCCTGTACATTCCAGTCTGTCCTTTGACAACAGTGGCAGTTTCCACAGTCATCTTAGAAGAACTAGCCATGACAGCCTATTTTTATATTCTTTTTAAAGGATTCATGAGAAATTTATCAGCAGTATTTTCCATACAAGTCAAATCTGTCTTGTTTGATTTATTATAAAATTTCGGGTATTTTAGCACTTGACACTTCATAAGCCCTACTGATAATTTTTTCATCTATGTTAAAACAGAGTAAAGATAAGAGTAAAAACAAACAAAACCAAACAAAATGCATGCTTAGAAGTACAAATATTTGTTGGTTCTTAATAACCAAGTTAAATATTACTCAGCACTGTTACTACTTTTAGGGCAATAAGCATCATGTCAGCAGAAACATTCTCATTAGTATAATAAAGTTGTCTTGACAATGTGTTTAAAAGTGATAAATTTGCTGTCTGCCTAAAAATATACAGATTTCTGCCACATACATTAAATAACTTTTTCCATGAAAAAAAACAGTTTCAATTTGAAATTACCATGGGAATTAATGGTGTAATTTTTTCATAAAATAAAAAATTAACAATACTGTTTCATACATTATAAAATGCCTTACTATTCCATAAGCATAGAAAGATTTAGAAATGTTTTAAATAAATAATAAATTATGCCAGTTTAACTCTGTTTTTAAAATATTAATTCTTTATGAACATGAAATAATTTGAAGAAATTTGTTCACTGTTCATTCACGAATACTCTAAATAAAAAATACACTATCCTGTCAAAAAAAAGCTTCCTGCCATGTACTAGAGTTGTTCTATATTGCAAGTCAAAAAAAAAAAACAAACAACCAAAAAAACACAAACTGCTTTTCAGGTTCCAGCTTTTCAATCTGCAAAAAAACCCATTTCAATGCAAACACACATGCCATGACAGATCCCTGTGGAGAAAGACTGTATAATTTAAAAAGAAACCATGACTTGCCTCCTATGACTGCCCACAGCAACACATCTAAAACCACAGCCTTATTCCAGCTATGCTACAGAACTCTCTTTTAAAGGAAACACTGACAGAAAAGAAAAATCTGGCTGATTTCAAAGGAATTGCAGCCTATATGCAAAGACACAGCAAGGGTACACTAAAATTAATTTTGTTGCACGAGAAATTAATAAAGGACATTTTTAATACAGTTGAACAT